GCACCGCTGTGGGGCCCACCCACCCACCTGAGCTCCCATACTCACCTTTATCCGCTGAATTTGAAGCGCAGCTGCTTTGTAAGATTGCCACGCGGCAGCTGCTGAGGCGACTGGGAGAGTACAGGCTTGCAGGAGGTGAGTTAGAACGCCTCCGCACCTGTGCAAAGTGCACATTTGGCACACACGTGCACGCAAAGCGCACCCACCAAGCCACCCCCACCGAACCCGTGGCAAAAATATTTGAATTGACCTTTCTGCACATAATTGGAGAGGAATGGGAGGACTTCCTTGGAGTGGTGCAGTGGCCTAGAGGTGAAGCTCTCGCCTCACAATCAGGAGACCGTGAGTTCAGTCCTAGGTAGAGGCAGATATTTCTCTCTTTGGGCACAATTGAGAATAAATCTGCTGAACAAAATTCCGCATTGGCGACAGGAAGGGCATCTGGCCATTAAACACACTGCTAGTTCCATTCAGTTGCCCAGACTCCACCCCGCAAGGGATTATGGGGTTGTTAAAAGAAGGCGATGAATGGAAGGACTTCCTTGATGAGATACCATGGGGTCTCCATGCTCCTTTTCAAATAGTATGGCGGTCTTCCAAGACAGAGTTGATAGGGTTCCTTTCAGCCATCCTGGTCTTCTCTTTCCTAGCTCTGCCTCCGAAGCCACCCAAAGCGAAGCCTGCAGCAGTCTCTCTAACCAACGGGAATGGGACAACCCTGCAGGATGCAGAGTGGTACTGGGGAGACATCTCCAGGTAAAGGGGGGGACCCAAGTGAGCTAGATTGTAGTCATGGTGGGGGAGGACATGTGGGAGGAATAATTGGGTCAGAATGGGACAGAAGAGTCTGTTGAGGCTTTCCTCGCTCTGGCTCTGCTCGTAAACTTTTCAGTAGTTAATTCAATTGTAAATGAGTTTGCCAGTCTTTCTTTTGTCAGAAATGGTACCTCCAGGTTATTTTTAGGAAACTGTTTAAAAGAAGAGATTTAGAACACAGAACGTAGAACAATAGGGCTGGAAGGTGACCTTGGAGACCTTCTAATCCAACCCCCTCTCAAGCAAGAGACACAATTTGAGACAAATAGTTGTCTGAATCATTTGGACCCTGGCAGAAAGCGATGCCCCTTTGTGGATTTTGAGAGTCAGGTGTTCCTTGGCAGTTGAGGTGCCTGGTATTCTCTGTCCCACTTGTCATTTCTTTGGGGCTGTAGAAGAATTGGGTAGAGAGAACGTCACTCTTGGAAGGTCAGGACTGGCACTGGCGTTCGAAGAACAATATTGCAAATCCTGGGTCAAATTCTCAGTGTGCTACAAGTTGCCCCAGTCCCTGTCTCTCCTCCCAACTTACCTTGTAAGTGGGATTGTTATAAGAGTAAAATAAAATCAGAATATTAGGGAGATGAGTATCAAACAGCAACTAAATGGCGGTTCCAGGTGGGTTGGTGGTGCATATATGCAGTGCAAACACAAACACACAATCTTTTGAGGCTTATTCTGTGAATTCCTCCTCCTCTTCTTGCTTTTATATTGTATAAACAATTGTATTTTACAAATAGATATGGTCACCTGTGTTAAGCAAATTACTCTGGTTGAGAGATTAGCTTTCTAAATGAATCCTGGCACTTACAAGGGCTTCTCCAATTAGCATTGCCAAGATGTTCATATAAGTTTGAGTGTATGGAGATTTTAAGTATTGAAACGATCCAAATCTTCCTGCCTCTTTTTTTTCAGAGAGGAAGTGAACGAAAAACTCCGAGACACTCCCGATGGTACCTTCCTGGTGAGAGATGCTTCCAGCAAGATCCAGGGTGAATATACATTGACCCTCCGGTGAGCCCCAATTTAACTTTGTTGGAGGGCTGACATGATGGAATATGAACCTGGAGAAGCAGGGGGTGGGGGACACACACACACAGCTTTCTCAAATAAAGGCCCGGGTTAAGAGTTTGCATAGTTCCAAACTAAAACGGGGAATGGGAAGAGGCTTAGGGTAGCCACACCATAGAATCTCTCAGGATATATCTAATAGGTTAGAAAATTATAGCTTTAGTTTGGCAAGATTCTGTCCATTAGGTGTAAGTAATAAAGGATTGGACTTGACTGCATCTCACTGTCTCTTCTCTGGGTTTGGGCTTTAGAGAGGATGAGGATCCAGGCATGCACCTGGGGAAGGAGATAAGGCGGCGGGGTAGTGTGTTGCTTCCAAGCCTGGATGACTGAATGTCAGGTCCTCTCTCTCTCTCTCTCGACAGGAAAGGGGGAAACAACAAACTGATCAAGATTTTCCACCGGGAAGGCAAATATGGCTTCTCAGAGCCGCTGACCTTCAGCTCTGTGGTGGAACTCATCAACCACTACAGGCACGAGTCCCTGGCCCAGTATAATGCCAAGCTGGACACTCGGTTACTGTACCCGATCTCCAAGTACCAGCAGGTGAGAGATGGTTGTTACTCACTGTGCACCAACGGAATGGGCCTCCGTCAGAAACAGGATGCCAAATCACCTGAGCACTTCCTGAGTGGAAGGAAGTGGTCTGATCCGAAGTGGGTAGAGATGTTGATTATGGTTGCTAAGTGAAATGTCTTTCTCAAGCAGTGGTCTGATGCTGGATTTTAAGAACTGAAGTAGAAGATAACTATCTCCATCTTCGGTTTGGTGTACGGCTCATTGGAGGACACAGCGGGTCCATGGTCCAAATGGGATTTTGTGCTGGATTTATGATCCAAAGGTTTTGCCCAATTCAGAGGGGATTTTAGCTCCTATCAACTATGCCCCAAAGGTGCTTTTTCAAGAGGCAACAGGACTTCCTAGTTTTTCTTTGAAGATGTTTTGCTTCTTATCCAAGAAACTTCTTCATAAAAACATGGCACATCAAAAGAGAACAAACCCATCAAGACTAGATTCAGCAGTCCATCTGCATTTAAAAGAGAAAAGTCACTCCAAAGACCATTGGTTTGAAATAGGTATCAAAGAGGCCATCTGTGTCAAAATTGAGTAGCCCTCCATCAACAGAAGGGCAGGAATACGACACTACCTATCTACAGTCTACAACACAGTCCTTTCAGCAGTTCCAAGAAGGCTCTACACCCATTTGCACTATTCAGGTGACCTTGATGACACAGATAAACTTCCAGGTGGCCTTAACAGCTCTTTAAAAGAATGCAAATGACCAGCTATCTGCAAGGAGTATAAATCCTTCCATTCCCCACCATCCAGTCAGAGCTGAAGAAGCTTCTTGGATGAGAAGCGAAACATCTTCAAAGAAAAACCAGAAAGTCCAGTTGCCTCTTGAAAAAAAATCATCTTTGGGACAACCATGACCTGAATAATTAAGAAACTCCACAGACACTCCTTCCAGTATCAACAAGTTGAGGTAGCTGAGCAAAGCCTCCATATCTAGCAGCAGTCTGTCTTTGTAAACTAATTGTGCAGAAGAAGCAACATGAAGGGGAAAAAATGGTTTCCTAGATTTATGTGCTTCCCTACGCCGTTTCTTTACTACCCTCGCTGCCTTCTCTTTGGAAAGAGAATGCTGAGCTAGTTACCTCAGCTGCTACAGCTGCTAAATTTAAAAAATGGATTTAGATTAATATATCAGACAGTGACATTCGGCAGCAATTAACCACGGCAGTCTTAGATGCTCGCTGTCCCAGCAACCTGGAGGTATTATGTGCAACTATTTCCATTATTCCTACATTTGGAAGGCAGCAGACTTGAAAAGGCTGTCTTTGGTGACCAGACATTAATCTTCAAATTAATCAATGGAAGAATTGGTCTGCTGGCCTCACTAATTTACCAAAAAGATCATGGGAAGGGAGGAATATGCAGGCAATTCTCTGTTGGAACGAAGAAGGGAAAAGTGGCTTTCTCTGAACTGAAGAGGAGCCAAGAATCTTAAAACCCAGGAAGGTTGAATTACAGAAAGTTGCCAGCTCTGCTTTTCCCAGAGCAGTTAAGCTAACTGTCTTAAGGAGGCTTTCTTTCTTTAAAGAGAAACTTGGCAAAATATTTTGGAGTGTCTTGCTTTGGGGGAGGATGCTCCTCATGAACGTCTCTCGTATCATTTCCAGGGATGGTAACGGCCATTCTCTTAATCCTTTGTTCTGTTTTGGCAGGACCAGGTGGTGAAGGAGGACAGTGTGGAGGCAGTTGGGGAGCAGCTGAAAGTCTATCACCAGCAGTACCAGGACAAGAGTCGAGAGTACGACCTTCTGTATGAAGAATACACACGCACCTCGCAGGTACTTAAAGCCTGCCCACTTTAAAACCTTCTTTAAAGACTGCAGGTAGTCCTTGACTTACAACCTAGTCAAGTGTCTAGAACAGGGGTGTCAAATTCAAGGCCCGGGGCCCGGATCCGGCCTGCAGGGTACTTAGATCTGGCCTGTGGGGCTTCCCTGGAAATAATGAAGGACCAGACCGTGTGGTGCCTCTGCCAGCCAAAACAGCCCTCCCGAGCTCTGTTTTCACTGGCAGAGAATTACAGGAGGCCGTTGCAGCTGAAAACGGAGCTCAGGAGCCTGTTTTTGCTGGCAGAGCGTTTGGGCCACCAAAGGTGCCCCCCAACACAAGTGACATCATGCTGGCCACCCCATCCTGGCCACGCCCACCCCAGCCCCCCAAGATCAAACACAACCTTGATGCAGCCCTCAATGAAATCGAGTTTGACATCCCTGATCTAGAACAGCAGTCCGGATCTCCAATCTTTCTGGCATTGAAGACCGGGTGGGGGAGAGGGGATGGCTCAGCACAAGTGGTGGGTGAAGAAATGGAACTGCACATGCTCGCCGGCCTGCATGCACATGTGGAACTACACGCCTGCCCACTGTTTTTGCGGCCCAGTTCTGAACAGGCCAGGGCTCATGGGTTGGGGACTCCCTAGTCTAGAACTTGGTATGTTTATGATAGACCTTCTAGGGCCGTGATGGCAAACCTATGACACACATGCCATAGGTGGCACGCAGAACCCTCTCTGAGGACATGCCAGCTGTTGCCCCAGCCCAGCTCCACTGTGCATGTGCCTCCCGCTGGCCAGCTGGTTTTCTGGTCTCTGCCGTACATGTGTAAGGGGATGTGGGTGCATGTGTGGGAGTGGTGCCCCCCCCCCATTTTTGGCCTGGAAGGCCTCCTGCACCAACCTTGAAGTGAAACTGGCGCGCCCCTTTTAGGGCCTGGAAAGCTTCCTGCAACCTGGAAGCCAAAAATCAGCACATGCATGGGGTGGCTTTCATATTGCATTTTGGCGTTGGGCACTTGGCACCAAAAAGGTTAGCCTCCACTGTACTAGGGAATTCTTACAATCCGGATTCATACTTACAACCTGTTAGGAATATAAGTCACCTAATAGGTATTTGGGTTAGAAATATATAAACCAGGATAAACATTTTAAAACTGTATCTTTAGGAAAATGCAAAACTGTAATTAGGTGTGGTTTCTCAAACGGCCATAAGATGGAGCCAGAAACCTGGTTTGTCTTCGTCTTAGTCTCAGAAGAGAGTGTGAGTAAGTCTCTGTTTCCTTCTGTTGGAAAGTATTGCCTTCCTCCATTTTTTTTAATTGATATTACTGGATTTGATGTAAGTCTGATACTGAGCTGTTTTTGACACTGGAATTTGTTATTGGATTATCCCTGGATTGAAAAACTGACTGATTTACCTGTGAATGACTTTGGACTGCTTATCTTGAACTTTGCTTAAACCTTTCTGGAAGTAAAAACCTACATTTACTGTATAGTGTATTTGTGTTCTGCGTATTATTCAAACACTTCTCTCAAATACGTCTCCATGTATGCGCTCATTCTCCTAACGGGGAATTACCCCAACACAACTGTTCCCCACCACCACCTGCAGTCACATGACCGAACTTCAGGTGCTCACGTGACTGTAGGTAGCGGTGGGGAACGGTGGGGTACAGCAGCCAGTCAGCATTTATCATCATTTGCAGCATCCCACCGTCACATGAATTACGTTTTACAACAGTTTCTCCGAAAACCTGCACTTACTTCTGGTTTGGGGCAAAACTGCACCTCTAGCAAGCCAAGGGCTGGCTTAACAACCGCTGCAAAAATCAACCCTATCACCGTCACTTTTACTTTTTTTCTTTTTGCTATGTCAGTCCTTTTTATTGGTTCATAATATAAATTACAAAAATACAAAAGCATATAATAGGGGGAAAGAGAAAAGTATAGTGAAGAAGGGAAAAAAGGCATTGATTTCTCACTTTAGACAGTAGAATAAGAAGTAACACCGGACCTCAACTTTTCACTTTTACATACTGTAGTAGTATCAGCTAGCCATTTCTATAACAACAGGTCTATCTAATTAGTAAAACCCCAAATCAAAGTTTCATTTTTCCCTCCACCTCAAGCACAAAGTCCAGAAACGGTTTCCAAGTAGAAACAAAAGTACCTGTGTTTTTTTTTCCCCTTGTATCAAAGCAGACAGTTTAGTCATCATGATTTACACCTGTGGCAGGTGGGCTCTGTTACAGTCGTTCAGGACCACCTGTACCTGCTACTTATTTAATGATGGATTTCCGTAGTACTTCTTCCTGACTTCACCGTCCTCTTTCTCCCTCCTGCTCAGGAATTGCAGATGAAACGGACGGCCATTGAGGCCTTCAACGAAACCATCAAGATCTTTGAAGAGCAGTGCCAGACGCAGGAGAAATGCAGCCGGGACTACGTGGAGCGCTTCCGGAGGGAGGGGAATGAGAAGGAGGTGCAGCGGTGAGACCCCTTCGGAATAAAGCTACATCTTTTCCCCCCCTCCCCCACCGGGCTGAATTTCCACAAACAGAACAGAGAAGAGGGCGGGGCCCAGAAAAAAACACCACAATTTCCAGTTAATTGAAGTGAATGAAGTACAGTTAATAGGGTTAATCCCTGGGTGTTTAATTTTCCCCAGCTGTCAAGTTAAAAGCTAGCATTTGCAGGCAATTCTTGGTGCTGCTCTGTGGCCTTTCCAAATGCTTTTATTGTGGGCCACCATTATTGATTTGAAAAATCTCAGCAGGATTAGACCTGGTATTTGGATGGGAAACTCAGAATTGTAGGTTAGACTGGAATTTTTAAAAAAATCCTGAAAAACACTTGAGACAAACCACTTCTGTAGTGTTTTTAAGAAGGCAATGTGGTTGTGTCTAAACTTGGGAGTGGGGTGGGATTTTTCATTTTTACTATGTTCTCATCTTGTCAAACATCAAGCCTAAAAAGACACCATATTCTTCCAAGCTGAGTTCTTTACTGTTTCACATCTTTAGGCAAAATCTTGCCAGACTAAAGACTCTACTATCTCTTCTACAATACTGTATATTCTGTGAAGCATTAAGCAAGGAGCCATTTTCACACTCTTTCTCTCACACATCATAATATCTGGGCTAAACTGTGTCTTACTTCTCTGGAACAGGGGTCTCCAACCTTGGCAACTTTAAGACTTGTGGACTTCAACTCCCAGAATTGAAGCTTTGCTGGCTGAGGAACTCTGGGAGTTGAAGTCCACAAGTCCTAAAGTTGCCAAAGTTGGAGAGCCCTGCTCTGGAATGCAGCTGCTACTCCTCCCTGCTGGGGATCCATCTCCTCATTACATTCCATCCCATATCCTAACAGAGCTGTTATTTATTAGGTTTTTATCCCCACCTTTATTAGTTTATAAGTAACTCAAGGTGGCAAACGTAGCTAAATACTCCTCCCTCCTATGTTCCCCACAGCAACTCTTGTGACGTGGGTTTGGGCTGAGAGAGTGTGACTGACTGATAATCACTCAGACAGCTTTCGTGGCTAAGCTAGGACTAGAATTCACAGTCTCCTGGCGACTGGCCCAAAGTCACCCAGCTGGCTTTCATTCCTAAAGCGAGATACCAGGGGTTTTCATTTCAATTGTATAGAATGTGAAGAATGTGTATTTGTGTTTTATTTTTATAGTTATAATGTACACCGAAGATGATATTTAATTTTGTTGTATGAGGTACAATAACAATGAAGTAAGGTAAACTAAACTAAAATTAGAACTCAGTTGTCTCCAGGGATTGGTCAAATGATCAAGTCAGCTTTAAGCATTCTAGTCCCTAAGATGGGACTAGAATTCAGTCTCCTGGTGATTGGCCCAAAGTCACCCAGTCAACTTTCATGCCTAAAGCAGGATTAGAACTCATACTGTCCTAGTTTCTAGGCCAAAGGTCTTCAAACTTGGCAAGTTTAAGACTTGTGGACTTCAACTCCCAGAATTCCTGAGCTAACATGACCGGAAGAGGAATTCTGGGAGTTGAAGTCCACAAGTCTTAAGGCTGTCAAGTTTGAAGACCCCTGGTCTAGGCCATCACTTCACCAAACCGGTTCTGTTTAAGACAACTTCTCAGCCTTTCTTGCTTCTCTAACAGCCTGTCCCTATCGTTTTTCCCCTAGGATCATGATGAATTCAGAAAAGCTGAAGTCTCGCATTACCGAAATTCATGACAGCAAGATGAAGCTGGAGCAGGACCTCAAACAGCAGGCCTCCGAAAACCGGGAGATCGACAAGCGCATGAACAGTCTTAAACCTGACCTGTTGCAGCTGCGCAAACTCCGGGACCAGTACCTAGTGTATGTGCTCTTCCTAACCGTCCTGATAAACACAAGCATAAATGCGGTTTAAAATCTGCCTTCCCTAACCAAATGGGTTGGATGTCTGTACATCTTACAACTGGTCACTTAGCGACCAGTGGGCTTTCAACAGCGCCGTCATTTGCAGCCGTTCGAAGCGTATTGAGATCCCATGACTGCAATTTACAACTTTTTTTGCCAGAAACCAGCATTCTCATGTCAGGCAAAAAGAAATCGCCTATTGCAGGCAGTGGGTTTGCTTAACAACGGGCCCATTTGCTTAACGGCTGCTTCAGAAAATGTCATAAAATTGGGTCAATCGTGTGGATACCTTGAAATCTGGCGATCAGGTCCTAGTGATAGAAATTTCTGGATTCCATTAAGGTCAAAATCAAGAGCTACCTTAATTTCCAGCTGCCTTTCTGATAGAGTAATCCTGCCCCCTAGTGGCCTCTCCACAAAATGCAAATGCTCTCATTCCCTAAGCAAGTACAGACTTGCAAAGCTTTCAACCTAATTGCTACTGTGTGTAATAGTTAAAAGCCTAAGAAAGATGCTGACGAAAGCTGTCTAATGAGTGGCTTTGCTTATCTGATATAGGGGGTATGACCTGCCTATAAAATGTTATTTTTCTGGTTAGCTAACAGAACATATTAGCATGATCTTGGGACAGCTTAAGTTTACAACAGTTATTTAATGATTTTTTTTAAAAAAACTGTTCTTTTAACATTAGAATTTTTCCAACCCATTGGGGCAATGCAAATAATTACCATTTTATAATTATGCACCAATGCTTTCTTGTTGTGGTCAACATTTTCATTTACTAGGCTTGGCTGCAGCCTGGAAGAACAGCTTTGCGTGCATCCCTTAAAGGCTGTTTTAAAATGAACAGTTTTTGTTCCTTTTTTTAAATGCCTCCAGATGGTTGACCCAGAAGGGGACTCGTCAGAAGAAGATCAATGAATGGCTTGGTATCAAGAGTGAAACTGAGGAGTAAGTGGCTCTATTCTTATTCTGCTCCAAGAGGGCTCATCATCTCAAGGTGTGTGTCTACATGAGGCTGTTCTGTATTCAGAAAGTTCCAGATTGAAACTGGTATGTCCAGGGGTGGGATTCAGCCGGTTCAGGCCAACCGGATGTCAAATATACAGAAGTCTGGAAGAATGGGCCTGTTTCCAGCTTCTGGAAACGCCCGCCTGTTTCCCCGGAGCCCGGGGGAGGCTGTTCTCGCCCTCCCAGAGACCCGAGGGAAGCCTCTGGAGTCTGGGGAAGGCGAAAAATGCCCCCTCCCCAAGTTCCAGTAGGCCATGCCCACCATGGCCACACCCACCCACCAATTGGGCAGAGAACCGGTTGTTGGGATTTTTGAATCCCACCCTTAGGTATGTCCAGTTACAAACAGACAGCTAATAGGGGATTGGAATGGCATCTTTGTGGCAGAGACTTCGGTGAGCTTCTTATAATCTTCCACAACATGATCTCTCCTATAGGTGGTCTAGCTTTAATTCCCATATTGTGAAGCCAACCCAGTTGGATAAGTGCTTATGATTTATAAGAGCCGTGGAGGCCCAGTGATTAAAATGCAGCATGGCAGGCTAACTGCCCACTGCCAGCAGTTCAGTCCTCACCGGTTCAAGGTTGACTCAGTCTTCCATCCTTCCAAGGTGGTAAAATGAGGACCTAGATTGTTGGGGGCAACTTGTTGACTCCGTAAACCACTAAGAGTGGGCTGTAAAGCACTGTGAAATGGTATATAAGTCTAAAGGCTATTGCTGTTTTGGTTGCAGCAGTTCAAATCCTGATATCCCCAGTTAAAAGAAATGTGACCAAGACCTAGCTGGATGGGTTGGTAAGAACCTGGGTCCAGCATCAACCAGAACATCAAGGAAAGGGGTAAAAAGTGATAGTGCTCCTAAGGTGAAATCTAATGGTAGCCAAAGAGTTGGGCTGTTGGCACTTATTTGCATTGTACTGCAGGGACAAGCTTGCATTGTTGCTTGAGTATTGTTTCCCATGGGCATGGCAGAATCCCTTCCATAAGACTTCATCGTTTGAGCTGGAGACTGCTGCAGGATCCTTTTGTCTATAGCAGTGGTGGGTTTCAAAACTTCCTACCAGTTCGAAGAGCTAGCTTTGCTTTGCGTGCGCGTGCGCAGGGCTCAAACACTGCCCTCTGTATCAACGCTGGTGAGCTGTGCTGTTTTTTTAGCTCATCCGAGGCACGGCAATCCGCTCGACCGCGCGAATCAGCTGAGCTAATAAACAACAGAATATAGAGAGGTAAGAGCAAGGGCGGGTAGGCAGGGCCATCCAGAGGTGGTATTTGCCAGTTCTCCAAACCAGTCAAAATTTTCCCTACCGGGCCCACCAGGACCAGTCAGAACCGGCTGAATACCACCTCTGGTCTGCACCCAGTTCAGTGGGCTCCCATACCCCTGAGGGCCCTCTCCAGCCTTCCTGGACTTTAGGCAACCCACACACCAGCAGATTCTTGGATAGTAGTCTCAGTTTGTTATCACATTCTCCACAGGTCTACTGTTCCTTGCTAGCAGAAGTAAGTTACGGTTCTCCTTAACTTCAGGTTGCTCTCAGTTTCCTATACAGAATAGCAAAACCCACCACCAATTGCTCCACTACAATGACCACAACCACCATCGTGCCACACCCAGCTGCTTTGCTGCAGGGCTGTTATAGTTGTTCTTTTCTAAGCAGCTTGTCTGGCTGGGGAGGGGTCTTAAAGGGACAGGGCACCCTCAGCCCAGAGGCTAGCTACTTTCAAGCAGCCTGCCCTCTCACCGAGTCTCCCTGGGGGGCTCCATGCATTGGGATGGGACTTGAAGTTGCTTGATGGTCTGGCAGAAGAAGTGGCTATTAACCTTTAGGCGTGCTTCCTCGATTTTTGTATCTGCTTCAAACGACCGCTAGGAAAGCCTCTAGGTTGGTCTTTCTCAAGTGCCTTGAATATAAACAGACGTTAGACAAGTTTCCCAACAATCTGGCTTGAGACCTGGATATTTGCAAGACTGTCTCCTTCGACTGGATCCTGGATCCCACTCCTTTGAATTGGAAAGAATTGAAAAGGGATCGCTGGTTCTTCTCCTGTGAGAGATTTGGGGGTGGGGCAGACGAGACCTTTCTGTTTCGCTGTGCTGGATTTCACCAGAAATCTGAATGGCCTCATTACCTCTGATGTTCAGAAAAGCCATTAAAACCAAGAGAGCCTTTATTTGTGATCTAGCTGTCAGACCATCTAACACCGTAATGCGAAAATGAATGGCTGAATGAGGTGTTGGTTTTAATGAATTTATTATTTGGGCATTGCTTTTCTTTTCATTTTGGTTGTTGCTGGGCATCACCCGGAGTTATTTTGGAACAGAGGTATATACAATTCATGGTCATTGTTGAGGTAATTCCCCGTTAGGAGAATGAGTGCACACAGGGAGTGGTAAGGAATAACACACAACCAGCACACAGATACACTGTATAGTAAAATGTAGGATTTTACTTCCAGTAAACGGTTAAGCAAAGACCAACAAGCAGTCAAGTCATACATGGTTAAATCAGTCAGTTTTCAGTCCAGGGATAATCCAAATAACAAAGTCCAGTATCATAAACAGTTCAACAGACTCACATCAAATCCAAGAATAATGATGATCAGCAACAGTCAATAGAGAAAGGCAGGAATGGCAACACTCTCAGCAACAACAGAACAACCCAGATTTCTGGCTCCATCTTATGGCCATTTGAGGAACCACACCCAGTTACAATTTTAGCATTCCCTTAAAGAGATAGCATGAAAATATCTATCCTGGTTTATATATTTTCCAACCCAACTGTTAGGTGACTTACATTCCTAACAGTCATGAATTAATAAAAGAATCGGATAACACAAATTGAGTGTGGGCTGTACAATCGGTCATGGGCCTTTCGTCTGTATCCTACATCAAGTCAGTGCATCAGTCCACCAGGATAAATATCAGCTTTGCAAGATTTAAAATAAGCTTACCATAAAATGCAGAGGGATCAATATAAGCTCTTGGGACTGAGCTGTGGATCATTTTGTTTTACATAGGCCTGGAATTCCAACACATCTCTTGTCTTCGTAAGGAAGGAAATTGCTATTTGTAAAAGGACAGGATGTTTAGTAATATCTCATCATCTTGAAAGTGGAGAATAGAGCATAGTCATTGTTTTGGAGGCAATACTAATCTGCCGCTTCACAGTGCTTTACATCCCTCTCCAAGCAGTTTACAGAATCAGCATATTGCCCAAGCAATCTGGGCCCTCGTTTTACTGACCTTGGAAGGATGGAAGGCTGAGTCGATCTTGAGCTCCATTAGGATCAAACTCCAGGCCGTGAGCAAACTTTGCCTGCAGTATTGCTTTCTAACCACTGTGCCACCACAGCTCTCTATAGGAAGTATCTTAATAGGACACTTAAGATGCTTAGGATCCGCAATAGGAAGCATCTTAAGACAAATCAAGGTGTAGGATTATGCCAGTGGTTCCGGGCTCTGGCCGGCAGGTGGTGGGGATTCTCTGTGGGTAGAGTGGCAGTGCCCTTAAAGGACAGTCTTCTGCAGAGCTTCTTTGGGGGAAAACTGGCCAGGCTTCCCCTTGGTGTTCTCACCCTTAGTTCTGCCTTGCAGCCAATACTCCATGATGGAGGACGAAGAAGACCTGCCCCATCACGATGAGCGGACCTGGTATGTAGGCAAGATCAACCGCACCCAGGCAGAGGAAATGCTGGTGGGCAAGCGTGACGGAACCTTTCTTATTCGGGAGAGCAGCCAGCGAGGGTGCTACGCCTGCTCTGTGGTGTGAGTTATCCTAAGTATTTTTTTTTTTCATTCATTTAAAAACTTCACTCGTTTTAGTTGACTTGCTTGATCGACTGATTTGAATCAGTTGGGGGCCTGTGTTATGGTGAAACTCAAATGCAGCTTTCGTTCCTTTTTAATATTCTCTAAAAGTTGTTTTATCTCACACAGCAAACGATGCCTCTTCCAAGATTCTCTTCTTTTTAACATCTAGAAATATTCCTTGTTTTTCACGGCAAACATCTTCAGAAGTTGCTTAGGAACATGCACCATCCATTTCCACGTTTCTTTTGCAAAAATATAGGGCCACCTATCTTAATCAAATAATTCCAACGCTTAACAAGGATAAAAACAAAACATGCATATAATTTTTTTTTTTTAAAAAAATCCCTGCATCCATTTGAATATGAAAGGGCATTGCATCTGGTCCTCTTATCACCTAGTACAGGGATCCCCAACCCATAGTGCATGGCCCGGTATCAGGCTGCAGCCTCTTTGGAACCAGGCTGCACAAGTGGTGGGTGAGCATGTTTGTGCATGCAACTCTACCTGCATGAGCAATGGGCAAGCAGGCTTGTGCATGAAGCTACTTAGCTACCGTGTTTCTCACAAAATAAGGCTGGGCCTTTTTTCTTTTTTTTTTGACCCCCGAAAAAATGGCTAGGCCGTCTTTTCGGGGGTGACTTAATTCGACCGCTTCTGAACTTTGTGCTTGAAGTAGAAAGGAATGAAATTTTGATTTTGGGTTTTACTGATTAGATTCATAGATCTTTATAGAAATAGCTTGTTCATATTATTATGAAAAGCAGAAAGTTGTGATTTGATATTAATGCCTTATTTTACTGCAACAGAGAGAGTGGGAAGCCAATGTTTCTTTTTCTCTTATCCTCACTTCTCTTCCCCCTCTCCCTCCCCATGTTTTCCTATCTACTTTCCTATTTTGCATCTTATTTTATTTTATAACCCAATTAAAAAAATCTTAAAGCATTAAAAATAGCAATCCTGACCTGCATTTTCTTTTGATACAATATATGCCTTTTTTGTTTGTTTACTTCAATAAATGCAGGTGGTCCTTGCTTAGCAACCTCTTGTTCAGCGACCATTTGAAATTATGATGGTGCTGAACGAAGAGGCTTATGGTCAGTCCTCAATGCACCAGCTATCCCAGCGGTCACATGACCGAATTTCGGAAGCTTGGCTACCAGCCTGCGATTCCACTCAACAACCCACAGTCATGTGGTCGCCATTTGCAATTTTCACTGCTGACTTTCAACGAGCAGAGCCACTAGGCAAGCTGGCCACAAGTGGCAGTCACGTGACTGCACATATAACAACCATGATTCCTTAATGACCGGAATTGCCATCATGAGTCTGTGAGGTTACAAGACTTTTTGACTTTATGCCCACATTGCTTAGCGACGAGAGTTCCCAGACCTGATTACAGTTGTTAACCGAGGACTACCTGTTCTTCCAAGAAAATTTTCAATATTATTCTAAATTCTGCATCTTGGATAACATCCACTTTCTCTTTCTTCCTGTGCTCCCCCGTTCCCCCCCCCCCCCCCATTCATTGCCTTTATGCGGTTCTTTTGTCTTTCTTGAACAATGTTTAATGACCCAAAGTGTTAATTGTTAATTTAATGAAGTTCTTCATTTTTTGTTCCTACAGGGTGGATGGAGACACAAAACACTGCGTGATTTACAAGACGGCAACAGGCTACGGCTTTGCAGAACCTTACAACCTCTACGCCTCGCTTAAGGAGTTGGTTTTGCACTACAAGCACACCTCCCTCGTGCAGCACAATGACTCACTCAATGTCACGCTGGCACACCCCATCCTCTCCCAGCCTCCGCCGAGATGAACACTTGTCTTCCCTTCCCTACCATTCCCCGCTTCCTACCCTTCCAGAACCTCCGATGAATGTCCTGCCTTTCCTTGACTTCCCCACGGGAATCAAAAACAAACAAACAAACCCCCAACCCCTCAGATTTCCTTCTTGTGTTCATCGTTAACTCTGCCTATTGTTCAATACCTTGCTTTCCATTGGTGGCTCTCCTCTTTCTGCTTCCTTTTCCTCCCTACCCTCCTTTCTCTAAAGCTGGCTTGTTGTTTTTTCTTTCAGCCTTGACCATGTTAAGCTATTTGGCCTTTGGCTCAGCACGCTGGCGGGAGAATTCTGGGAATTGAAGTCCATGCATCTTAAAGCGGTCAAGGTTGAAAATCACTGTTCTAAGCTAACTTTTTCTTTTTCCTTTTTTTTTTTTACATTTGCTGCTGCATTTTGAATTCCTTCTTCACTTTCTCCTAGTGGCTTTTGTTTTGGTGCTAGGGGGTCCTACTTTGGGCACGATCTCTGCAGAGAAGCTATTCTGGGGGTGGGGGTGGGGGGTGTAGAAAAGGTGCTTCGTAGGCTGGCAATCCCTAAGAACTTGGGAAGAGACCATTATTTCCTTTCCTCTTTTTTCTCCCTCCTGGATTTGCCTGGGAAGGGCCGGATGAGGTGGTTTAAGAACTCCTCAGGCCTTGCCTCCGTCTACGTTGGCATTCACCTGGCAAAACTCAGCCTGCCTTGCAGCGACCCTCCTGCCCCCGCTCCCCTTTAGCTGGCTTTCTTTCCGTTCCCCAGTGTACAGTGATATGACAGTAATCTGTTTTTAGCTTCCTATGCAGCTGCTTCTGTTTTTAAATATGCAAAAATGGAGAGCGGAAAAGAAAACTCCCATTATCATGGTCTTTGGAAGCTTCTCCCGACTCTTTCAATCTGCCTTGCTTTCCAAGCACTTTACCTGCTGCTGAGCGGGCGGTGGGGCAGAGGGAACGATGCCCGATTCAAATGCCCTCACACTCCACAGCCTTCCCCCCATGGCTCCATTTAACCAGGATGCAGAGCCTGCCTCTATCTTTGAACCCGGACGCTGAGGCTAGCAAGCCATGCTGGAGTTCCTCAGCCTTCTCATGACACCAGGGGTCAGAACATCCTTTCTGACAGGGCTCCGCTTCAGCATCCCCCAACCTGTCCTGCTTCTCAGGGCCGTACCTGTCCATATTTCTGGATGAACCTGGAGACCGGTGGCTTGACTGCATGCTCTTTGGCATAAAGCCATAAACTCATTTCCAAACTTGTGCCCAAAAGGAAGGGGGAGGGAGGAAGTTCTCGGTAGTTCTCACTCGTAGGTTTTCGTCTACCTGTATTGCCTGGCCTGATTTATGCAGCGCTGGTTTCCATTTCCAAAGGGCTGGTCTAAAGCCATTTGATCAGCACAACCCATATCGCACACACAACCCTGTGGTTTTTGTCTCGTGCGGGCACATGGCACCGAATGCTCTCTTGGTCTGAGCCTGCTTTTTTTTTTTCTTCCTCTTTCATCTTCCTGTCAAAGCCCCTTTTTGATGCCATTGCTAACCTCCAGTAAAGGATGGAATTATTATTCTTTAATTTTCATTGTTCTTTTCCAGTTAGCAAGGAGGAGGGCTCTTTCTCGGTTCACGGCCATATGCCCCTCTGGATCTGCATGTTCCTCCCCTGCAGAACAGAGTGAGCTCGAACGAATGGATTCCAGCAGCAAAAGTTTTTTGTGTGTGTGTGTGTGTGTGTGTGTGTGTGTGTGTGTGTGTGTGTTCTCATCCTAGATATATGCAATAATACCAAACACCTCTCTTATTTCCCTTCCTCACATCATTCCAGCCATACTTTCCAGGCTCATTCACTTTAAAAAAAAAAAAGGAAAGAAGTGTTTATTACATCATTGTAAGCTTCAGTATTTGCGTCAGAATTTGTTACTGTAAGATAAAAAGAAAATGAAAAGTTTTGTACGGTACTTCAACATAAAAAATAATAAAATGAAATGTGTTAACGCAAAGGTGCACATACTTATGTTTCTCTCTTTACTCCTCACATGGTTAAAATGTTTAAAATGGAAAAAATAGTTCAAGGTTTTTTTTACAATTTTTTTCAGAGTTGGAGGATTGAAGGTCTGTCAAGCAAGACCAAGACAGAGCAGTGATCACTTTTAAAGAACATTTGTTCCTGAGAAGGAAGTGGGTAGCTTGATGCTTTTTGTAGAAAGAAGAAGTGAAAAATGATGTCTCTGCATATGTCAGGGTTCTCAAACCATAACGAGTACCAACCCCTGAGACTTGCTATGCTAGTGTTTTTTCATAATTTGATACAAAAATTAAAAACAAAGTTACCCAATTGCAGCAGTAAATACACTTTTATTCCTTGAATTTAAAATGTTTCATTGTGGCCTCTTGGCTGGCAACTTTAACTAGTATACCAATATTTAGTTTTTTTTTTCCTGGGTTGGTACATACTGTATTTCGTTATGACAATTTATAAAATGGCCAACTATGAATTCTGGGAGTTGGAAGATCACAGGTCATAAAGTTCTCATAGTTGCCCACACTTGATTTATAGGATAATTTAGGAAGCCTATTCCCCAAATCTACCCCAGTTTTGCTTCTCTTTTTTTCCCCATACCTGGGGCAGTGTTTTCTCCCATTTCCTGAGCTGGCAGAGTGACCCTTAACAGCTGACAGGCAGACTTGGCCTTCCTCGGCCATCTTGTTCCCCATTTGCTCAGGTAGTGCCAGCTACTGACCCTGTTTCACTGGCCAAATATTGCTTTTGCCTCAACTCCCCACTGTCACTGCCTGAAGATCCCAATGCGGGCTGAGAAACAGCGCACTCCCATTCTCGAGAGACAAGGCTTCCTGGAGGCTGGTGGCACGCATCAAGTCAAACCAATTTCTACTATCGTCAGGAGCCCTTTGGGGTTGGGCTGAAGCAAGCTGCTAGTATGGTTCGCCGGCAGCCTGTGCAGATGGCAGCGGAATTGGAAGTGGCGAAGAACGGGGACCAGTCTGGGAGTCTGGGGAGGACTCAGACAAGGGTCCTGCGCCTGATACAGAGATGAGGCGGGACCATATGGGAGTGGGATGCTGAGTCCGGAGTCTCCAGAGTCTGGCAGCAAGGCAGAGGAACAAGGGGAGCCTGTTCCCAGTGTGTGTGCACAGAGCTGCTAGAAGGCAAGAGCAGCTAAGACAAAAGGAGTGACTTGAGAGTAAGGCTTGGAGGTGATTGTCCCTCGCATAAGGTATAAAGGACAGGCAAAGGTAGAGAAACCTTTGCAGGAAGCAAAGTCGTTCACTCTGTTTGAGTTAAACCTTGAAGCTCTGTGTGGACTTTGTACTTTGGTTGTTTTTTTACAGTTAATTTGGCACTTTAGTTCTTGGCAGCAATTCAAAGGAGAGGAGGGGGATGGTTATCTCAAGGGACTGTTTGGGACTCATTACTGGCTGGGAATGCAGATAATTCCCAGCGTTGAAATAAAACGAGATGTTTGGGCTAAGCGTGTGCTTAATTACTGTCTCAGGAAGCCTCGGTCAGAACAGCTAGGCTGCAATCTCACTGGGATGCTTCTTTGGCTCCAACTGGGCATCTTAGTGGTGCTCAGCCAGACTTTTCTTAATTTATCTGCTGTTTTATTCAACTGTCCTACTATCTGTGGAAAATTACATGGAAGGAGACTCCATTAAGTCATTCATGCCCTAGTAGTCACTTCCAGATTGGACTGCTGTAATATGCTCCACATGGGGCTACCCTTGAAGAGTATCAGGAAGCTTCAACTAGTGCAGAATGCAATGGTGCAAGGGGTCATGTGTGTTCTGCTTTATGAACTGCACTGGCTGCTTCTGGGTCCAGTTCTAAGTGCTATTTCTGACCTTTTAAAGTCCTTCAAGGCATGGGGACAATTATCTGAGGGATCACCTGTCCCCAATTACATCAGCCTGTCCTGTTAGAAACAGCAGGGAAAGCATGTTATAGGTTCCATCAGGTAGGAACTTGCTGGGTCCCAGGAGTTTGGCCTTCTCTGCTGTGGCACCCTTCTAATGAAGCATGCTCCCGCTCCCCCCCACAAGTTAGGCTCACTCTCTTTCCCTATCATTGTTTAGGACTGGGGTCCCCAAACTTGGCAACTTTAAGACTTGTGGACTTCAACTCCCAGAATTCTCCAGCTAGAATTCTGGCAGTTGAGGTCCACAAATCTTAAAGTTGCCACGTTTGGAGACCTCTGGTTTAGGAAGTCCCTTAAGACCCAGTTATAATATCAGGCCTGAGAGGTCTTTATGAACCAGAGACATTCTTAGATATACTGTGATTGATATTCTTGCTCTTTCTGTGGAATCTGTATGTTTTATTTTTTTTTATAATATTCTTGTTTTGATTTTTATCCCTTTAAAATGACTTTTATGAATGTATTTGCAGTTTTATTCAACTGTTGTATGCCGCTAAGAATTGCTTTGTGTGAGAGGACAGTCACAGAAATGTGATATATAGATAGAATACCTGTATTTTTTTTAAACAAAGGTATTTATTTAAACACAGGCAGTCCTCCACTTACGACCATAATTGAGCCCAAAATTTATGTTGCTAAGTGAGATGTTTGTTGAGTTTTGTCTCATTTTAAGACGTTTCTTGCCACGGTTAAGTGAATTACTGCAGTTGTTAAATTACTAAAACGGTTGTTAAGTGAATCGGGCTGCCCCATTGACTTTGCGTGTCAGATGTTGGGACAGCAACCATCATAAATATGAGTTAATCAGAATAGAGCTAGAAGGTACCTTTGAGGTCATCTAGTCCAACCCCCTACTCAAGCAGGTGACTGTATAGCATTTCAGACAAGTGACTGCCCAGTCTCATCTTAAAAACCTCCAGTGTTGAAGCACCCACAATTTCTGAAGGGAAGCTGTTCCACTGGTTAGTTGTCTTCACGGAAGACAACTAGGAACTTAGGAAGTTTCTCCTTAATTCCAGGTTGCTTCTCTCTTTGATCAGTTAACCGCCCATTGTTTCTTGTCCTGCCTTCTGGTGCCAAGCACCTGAATTTTGATTATGTGACCATGGGGATGGTTGTTAAGTATGAAAAACAATCACAAGTCACTTTTTCAGTACTGTTGTAACTTCGAACAGTCACTTGACAAGACGAACTGTTGTAAGTTGAATGCTTATAAAAATTGTCCTGAGGGTTAAGAGATTGAGGCAACTGGTCAGTTGTGTAATTTTTCTGCATTATTTTTCTGGTTATGCTCCGAACTTTTTTAACTTCCACCAATGTATCTTGAACAGGCCTGAGGGGAGGAGAGAGGAGAGATCATCCATGTGAATGTGGAAATTTTACTTCTCTCTCAATCTGGCCATTTGTGGAATTTGCCCTTAGCTTGTTTTTTGGCCAAGGGTCTCGTAGCAGTCTCTGGCTCAGGTTATTTATGTCAGGAACCTTCCTTTCAAAATAATTCCTCCTGCTGCCATATTGTCATAAGATTAACTACTGATTTACTTTTTGCTTTTGTGTTTTTTGGCCATTTCCCAGGTTGCTCTTGCTGCAATTTTTGCAGCGTTCTTACTAGGCCCTCTTCCGCTCATCCTCCTTCTGCTATTTGCTGACAATCACGCCGGTATCTAAACAGGTTTTGTCATCTCCAGAACATTCTCTAGTCAGCGTTTCTTATTCTTGGCAACTTTTAAGTAATGTGGACTTTGACTCCCAGAATTCCCCAGCCAGTACACTTTAAAGTTGGTATGCTCCTCAATTAGGCAGCAACAACACTGATTTTGGGTAGCACGCTATTCCTTGCTTTTTTTTTCTTCTAAACCTCCAATTCTTCCTTTTTACTCCAGAGTCAAAAAACCCCACTACTTCACAAAACAATTAGCTGGCCTGAGTCCTGTGGCATCCAAACCAGAACATTTTTTAAATGAACTTGGTCCAAGTCCACAAAAATACTTACTTGCCCCAACTTATACTGTAAACAAAATATATTGCCTGTATCTTGTAAGGGTGGGAAGCCAGACCCACCTAATAACCGTGCTACTAACTTAATAACTGCAGCAATTCACTTAACAACTTTGGCAAGAAAGGTCATAAAATGGAGCAAAACTCACAGCAATTATCTCATAGCAACATAAATTTTGGGCTCAATTGTGGTCGTAAGTCGAGGATTACCTGTATTGACTTTGCTTGTTGGAAACCATCTGGAAAGGTTACAAATGGCGATCAGATAATAGATAACAGATAATCAGTGTTGGAAAGGACCTTATAGGTCATCTAGTCCAACCCGTTGCCCAAGTGGGAGACCCTATACCATTTCTGAGAAATGGCAGTCCAATCTCTTCTTGTAGGTCTCAAGTGATGGCGCTCCCACAATTTCCAGAGGCAAGCTGCCCCATTGGTTGATTGTTCTCACTGCCAGAAAGTTTCTCTTTATTTCCAGGTTGAATCTCTGCTTGTTTGGTTTCCATCCATTATTCCTTGTCTGCCCTACAGGCGCTTTAGAAAATAGCTTGACCTCACTCCTCTTTGTGGCAGCCCCTCAAATATTGGAAGACAGCTACCATGTCTCCCCTGGTCCTTCTCTTCACTAGATTGGTCATGCCCAGTTCCTGTAACAGTTCTTCATATGCCTTAGTCTCAGGGGTGGGATTCAATTTTTTAAGAACCGGTTCTGTGGGCGTGGCTTAGGTGGTGAGCATGGCTTGGTGGTCATGTGACTGAGTGGACATGGGTTAGTGGTCATGTTATTGGTTGGGTGTGACCAACTCAATATCACTCACATTGAGGCACATATCTCCTCGCCTGGCCTCTCATGACTGTGGGGATGCTGCAACAGTCGTAAGTGTGAAAAATGGTCATCAGTCACTTTTTTCAGTGCCATTGTAACTTTGAATGGTTACTCCACACAAGCAAAGTACCAGCAAAGGAGGGAAAAATAACTCCAGAGACATTCCTGAGACAGGAAGTCTAGTCCTGCAAAGAATGTAATAAGGGTTAACGGAGAGGCCGTTTCTGTAAGCA